GATACCACGGTATTGCAGTTAGTTCTACTTGACAGCAGATAACATATGCCGCCATAGGTCGGTGATATCAGCGGTTTCCAGACGAGCCATCGGTAAATTCAGAGCAGAAGTAGAGTGGATACCGCAGTGGACATAGACACGAACACTCCAGGTCAAATACAGACTGGGCATATAAGAAGTAGTTGTGAACTACTTTGCCATACAATAACAATCGTAAGGCAGGTCTGTACTACTTTGCTATACAAGACTTGTAAGGTACTTGTGAACTACTTTGCCATACAATAATAATCGTAAGGTAGTTCTGTACAACCAAAGGGAGTCCCAGATTGGTCCATCGTAGCCACCGGATACGAAGCACTCGGGAGACTATCACTGATGATCACAAGACACGCCACGGCCGATGCAAATGGCCAATAGGATTAAACGCAACCGACGACTAAACAGTAGATGAAAAAGCTGTACAGCACAACTTCATCTACATACTTGCACAATATACGGTTGTATATCGTCTATTCTTCAGTTTGGTGTTTCAATGACTTGTACTACACGCACAACCCTTATGTGCAGACAATAGACCTCACACTGCCCCAACAACTACTTCCACAGTCGGATGGTCAGGACACCAGTATTAAGCACCCTTCAAGTACACACAATACACCTCACACTGCCCCAGCCACTACTTCCACAGTCGGATAGTACTGTCGTAGGCACAGGACACCAGTATGAAGCACCCATCCGCCGATGTATAACCACTGAGATTGCGCTGCCAAGGGATGGAAGAGTGTGGTGGTGGGCTGAGAAGTACAACTTTACGAACGTTGGGTCGAGTTGGGTGTGGTATATGAAACTGTCTACCTAGCTTAGGGCTACCCCTCCTATGCTCAAAATTACTAATTTGCGAAAGTTGGGTCTATTTTGGTGTGTATATACAACTGTCTACCTATTTTAGCGTTGCCCCTCCTATGTTTTAGGGTTTAGGGTATTAGCGATAGGACACTTCGTTTGGCTACGAGGAGGTGCATGGTGTAGCTCATCAGCCTATGAAGTGCCGCTGTTAGTTTGGGTCATCGTGCGAAACCCTAAACCCTAAGGCAGATGCAGTGAGATGTACTTGTTTGTCTTCAGAGTGTCTGTGTGTAAGGGGCGTGCAGTTTTGATTTGGTGTGGTTGGGAACTGCCTACCGACATATACAGTACAGTTTTGAACCCCGGATATACCGATCATGTCAAGGTCAAAAATCGAAACAGGACAGAAAAAGCCCAAAAAAAAATACAGGACACAAAGAAACTGAAAACAAACAACAAAACGGGTTGCAGGACTGGAATACGTCAGTGCGCCAGCAACTAACAACATCCACAAAGGTGTGGCCATCGTATCAGCCAGATCCCACTACATGCGCTCTACAGGAAACGAAGTAGCCGTACAGACACGCAATGGTGTATAGCAACGGGCGGCACCTGTCGTAAAGAATGCAAGTGCATATTCTATAGACTACACCCTAAATAATCCAACTAAGCTCTAATCCCTAAATAATAAACAAAATATTAAACCCTAAATAATAAACAAAACCGTAAACCTTAAACAATAAAACTAACCTGAAGTAGCCGTACAGACACACAATGGTGTATAGCAACGGGTGGTATCTGTCGTATTGAATGCAATTGTTCTAAAGACTAAACCCTCAATAGTACAACTGACCCCTAAACCCTAAACACCCAATCAAACTGAACCGTAAACACATTTGTGTAAATAGATATACCTACACTGTGAGTAACTAATTTAATTCACGAACGGTTTAGAGTGAAACAATGTTTGTACTTTATAGGATCAAAGTAGTGTAATAGCTTACATGGTTGTGAGGACTGATCATCCCACAACCTTGACATATATACCTAAAGCTAGACGTTGCCTGCCGTCAGACCCTCTGGTCACTGACGCAACTTCTCCTTTCTCACCATATATTCCATCATACTATTACAACTACACTACTAAATGTTTTATGCTCTTCTATTGGTCTACGCTTACCAAATCAGCTGTAGACATAAACCAATATCATAAGACACATAACATTTCTCCATGCCTCCATCACTCTAAAAAAATCACCCCTCATTCATCCGAACCATCAAGCATGCACCAGACACAATTCAGTTCTGCACACGAGCCTTCAAGCTCATTACTATCTGTGGACCACACCCATATTACAACACTAATACATTACACTTGGCATTGGCATAGAATCAACCGCTTACCACTTGCTTGGTATGGTCTTCACGTAGACAAATATGTATATATATATACCTACACTAATACATTACACTTGGCATTGGTATAGAATCACCCGCTTACCACTTGCTTGGTATGGCCTTCGCGAAGACACATATGTATAAATGTATACCTACACTAATACATCACACTTGGCATTGGCATAGAATCACCCGCTTAGCACTTGCTTGGTATGGCCTTCGCGTAGACACATTTGTATATATATATACCTACACTAATATATTACACTTGGCATTGGCATAGAATCACCCGCTTAGCACTTGCTTGGTATGGCCTTCGCGTAGACACATTTGTATATTTATATACCTACGCTAATACATTACACTT